GATGTGACTATGTCGGGGCCGATTGGGGTGGGGGCAGGGGGAGCAGGGGGGGCAGGGGGAAGCGGAGGGAGTGGGGGAAGCGGGCAAGGTTCGGCTGGGAGGACGGGTCTGAAGTTTGGAGGTCTTAGGCATTCCAGGTTCGCTGCTGGTAGCGCTGCTGCTGCTGCTGCTGCTGCTGCTGCTGCTGCTGCTGCTGCTGATGGTGCTGCGTCCACTGGTGGTGCTGAAGCGTCTTCTGCTGCTACAGCTGCTGCTACAGCCGCTGCTACTGCTGCTGCTGCTCCTTCTGCCGCCACAGCTTCTGCTGCTACAGCCGCAGCAGCTGCGTCTACTGCACCCGCGCCTGTCCGTCCCAGGCCAGGCGCCCTCACTGCCACCGGACCTACTTCCGGACCTGTTTCCGGACCTGTGAGCCCCGGACCTACTGCGACTGCCGTGCCTCTGAGCCCCAAGCCTCGGATCCCGGGCCAGTCCGAGGGTCGGGTTTCCAAGGGTCGGAAGAAGATGGAACGGGAAATTGCGAGGCTGTTGGCTCGGGAAGACAGTGCCTCGAGAGAGCATAGTATGGACCACGGGGGAGGAGGAGGGGAAGCAGGGGGAGGAGGTTGGGGGCATGAGCGCGGGTTGAGTACTAGCAGCAGCGTGGACGGGGGGCAGTGGGAGTCGATTCCGTACCAGTTCCCGTCCTCACGCTCCCTCGATCCCAACCAGGGCACCCACCAAAGCTTCCCCTCCTCTGCCTCTGTTGACGGCGGCTACAGTGGAGCATTCTCCTTCGCCTCTGCGTCTGTCTCTGGCCCTGCCTCTCCCCCTCCTGCTGCTGCTGCTGCTGGTAGTGCTGCTGCTGCTGCTTCTCTCCCCCCCCGCGCGTCTCTCCCCCTCCCCTCCTCCCACCACTCCATCCTCTCGCAAGCCTCCTTCGCCCCCTCCCCCCCTTCCCCTCTCCCCCCCCACCCCCGCGGCTCCCACTCCAAAGCCCCCTCCTACGCCTCCTCCTCCCACGCCCCCGCCTCCTCCTCCTCCCTTACCCCCTCCGAACCCCCAGAGGAATTCCAAATGCTAGATGTGGACAATCTAGTCAACCACATGCGCACCGGACCGCCCGAGGAAAAAGCCGCGGCCGCCGCCCTGCTCCGGGTCATGACCCGGCACGGGTTCGCGTGCGGGCGGCGGGTTTTGGAAGCGGGCGGCGTGGCGCCACTCGTCGACCTCCTCTGGTCGGACGACGAACCCACCGCAGAGCACGCAACCACCTCGCTCTTCAACCTTGCTCTAGAAGCGTCCGCAAGAATGCGTATTGTGGTTACCACCGGGAGTAGAGTAGTTGAAGGACTCGTTCACGTGCTTTCCGCCGGTGCTCCCGCCGCCAGAGCCAACGCAGCAGCAGCTCTCTTTCTCCTTTCCCGCGACACCGGCGCCAACAGCAGTATTAACAGCGGGGCGCGAGCAGCAGCTGAGGCGAACTCGTTCCGGGAAGCCGTGGTAACCGCAGGCGCGTTACAGCCGTTACTAGACCTGCTCCTGGACGGCCCCACCCGGGCCAAAAAAGACGCCGCGAACCTCCTGGTTTCCCTCTGCATGGCCCGGCCGAACCGGTCCAGCGTGGCTAAAGCCGGTGCAGTGCGGTGCTTGTGCCAGTTGCTGAGTGAAGGGGTGGAGGTGGTAGAGGAGCAAGCAGCAGCGGTGTTTGCGGCTCTTGTGAGGGATCCCGAGGGGAGAGAGGTGCTGGTGGAAGAAGGGGCGGTGCCGGCATTGGCTGAGTTGGTGGAGGGGGGCACGCAGGGCAGGGCGAGGGAGTATGCGGTGGGGACGCTGCTGGGACTGGGTGCGAGCAGCAAGGAGTGGCTTGTTGCGATCGATGAGGAGGGAATTTCGGCGTCCGTTGATGTGCTGACCCGTGTTGGCACGGGGAAGACTCAAGCCAAGGTGAGTGTTGAGTCTTGAGTAAGGGAACCAAGGGCTGGGTGGGGGCCAAGGCCGGGAACGCTCCTGTTGAAACTGGGCGCGAGCAGCAAGGAGTGGCTGGTTGCTATCGATTAGGAGGGGATTTCTGCATCCGTTGATGTGCTGACTCGCGTTGGCACGGGGAAGACTCAAGCCAAGGTGAGTCGTGTCAAGGCAAGGGATGGGAGACGCAGATAGCAAGGCTGCATTGCATTGAGCGAGGGAGTATGCGGTGGGCACGCTGCTGGGGCTGGGTGCGAGCAGCAAGGAGTGGCTGATTGCGATCGATCAGGAGGGGATATCTGCTTCAGTCGATGTGCTGACTCGCGTTGGCACTGGCAAAACTCAGGCCAAGGTGAGTCGCAGCGCAGCTAGGTGGGCAGGGCTGGGAGTTCACTGCTAAGGCTTGCGGGGATTGATGAGGAGGGGATATCGGCTTGAGTGGACGTGCTGACTCGCGTTGGCACTGGCAAAACTCAGGCCAAGGTGAATCCCGGCTGGGGTTGTGAAAGGGGGGCTGGGCTGAGAGAGGGAGGTTGAAGAGTGAGGAGGGGGTTCAAGGCGCCACACAAAGGGAGGGAGTATGCGGTGGGGACGCTGCTGGGGCTGGGTGCGATCAGCAAGGAGTGGCTGGTCGCGATCGATGAGGAGGGGATATCTGCTTCTGTTGATGTGCTCACATGCGTGGGGACAGGGAAGAAGACACAGGCCAAGGTGAGTCATGACTGCGAGGTGCTGCTGAGGGGCTGGGGGCGAGCAGCAAGGAGTGGCTGGTCGCGGTTGACGAGGAGGGGATATCGGCGTCGGTTGATGTGCTCACACGCGTGGGAACAGGGAAAACGCAAGCCAAGGTGAGTGTTGTCTGGAGAAACTGGGGTTTGGGGGCCAAGGCTGAGTGCGAGCAGTAAGGAATGGCTCGTTGCGATTGATGAGGAGGGGAGTTTTGCTTCTGTGGATGTGCTGACCCGTGTTGGCACGGGGAAGACTCAAGCAAGGTGAGTCTTGACTGGAGATGGGAGGGGCCGGGGGTGTTGCTGGGCTTAGGGTTTGAGAGCTGGGGGCGAGCAGCAGGGAGTGGCTGGTTGCGACTGACGAGGAGGGGGTATCGGCCTCGGTTGATGTGCTCACACGTGTGGGAACCAGCAAAACGCAAGCCAAGGTGAGCCTTGAGTGGGGGTGTGAGCCTGGGGTTGGGACATTAAAGGATCAGGCCAAAGGGAGTATGGGCTGTTGGTGAGAGGCTGAGTCTGGTGATGTGAGTGTGCGTGGTTGAGGTTGGAACGGTAAGGGTGGGTGGGGGTGTGAGGCGAATTTTGAAGCGCTTCAAAAGTGAGTCTGTCGTGTTTTCCATTTGCTGCATTCCAATGTATGCCCTCCTTCGCTTCCCGTTTTTTTTCAGAAGATATCTCAAAAAACTCTTGAGGCTTTTAGATTGCGCTGCAGCCCTTGCAATACGAGTAGGGAAGCCTGCCGCACTGCACTGCCTCACCTTTCCCGTCCCCCTCCCCATCTCTCCCAACCGCTCTGTCCCTCCTCCACGCTCCCCCTGCCACCCCCTTCCCTTCGACCCACACCCAGCTCCCCCCCCCTTCTGTTCCTTCCCCTTCCCTCTCCCTTACACAGCCAGGTGCCTCAAAGTATTCCCCTGCCTTCTCCCTTAGGCTTCAACTACTGGAGCTGCTACTTCCGTGCCTCACCTCTCTCTCCCCTCCCTTCTACCCTTTCTTACTCTCCGTGCTTCCCTGCCATCCCCTCCCCATGTGACCTCGCTCCCCTTCCCCCTGCTGTTCTTGTCTCCCTTTCAGGCGCCAGCACTGCTGGAGCTACTCAGGTCCTACCAGGCACAGGAGGGTGGTTTGAGGGTGGGGCCCTGGATGGCATGTGGTGATGATACTGGTTGACGCATGCTCTTCCTGCTACCCGCTCCCCTCCCCTCCCCCCTGCTGCTCTCGTCTCCCTTTCAGGCCGCAGCACTGCTGGAGCTCTTACAGTCGTGCCAGCACAGGAGGGTGGATAGAAGGAAGGCCGGATGTAATGTAACCCCCTTCCCTTTCCCCTACTTCCCTCTGCTGCTCTCGTCTCCCTTTCAGGCGGCTGCACTGCTTGAGCTACTCAGGTCCTGCCAGGCACAGGAGGGTTAGAGGGAAGTGAGGGGAGGGGGTGACTTGTTGTGATGGTGGTTTAAAGTGGGGGCGAGTGGTGTGGTAGGTGGGATGGGGTTGGTACCGGTACCTGGTGGTGGTGCTAGTGATTGGTGAGGAATGGCAAGTGAGGATGCTGGGGGTAAGTGAGGATGCTGGGGTTAAGTGAGGATGCGAGTGTGTGTGTGTGCGTGTGGAGTGAGGGATTGATGGACAGTGAAGGTGTGCAGGGCACTGTGCCTCTCGTCGGTGTTGGTAGGGCACACACAGAGCCAACAGAGCGAACAGAGCGGGGTGATGGTTTTGATAGGTGGTAGCGGTACTGGTTGTCTTGTTTCTCTGTGCGATGATGACTTGACTGCAAATCTGAGCAAATGTTTATGCTGATGCGTGCATTTAGCGTCGTATGATATGCAATGTGTTTCTAAAATTGCTGGTACTTGTATTTCGACCCTATGCTACATAATTACATCAACCATGAGTGAACGCATCCTCTCCTCCTGATGTCACTGCTGCATGCCATATCATGGTTGGGCTTAGGATGATGAGGGAGAAGACAGCAGAGCTGTGCTGGATTTTGTTTCAGACTAGCCTGGGTTGTTTATGCCCTTTTCCAGCTTCCAAATGAAGTTCCTGCTGCAACACCGTATCAAAGTTGGAAACAACTTTTCTTACGCTTCAACCAAAATCATGCCGTAGCTGTTTAAAAAAATACTTAATACTGCGACATCAGCCTCCCACATAACCAGGATTTTACACTGGGTTTGATAGGGCGACGCGAGGGTGTCAAACTGTAACAAATCGCGTTACGACCAGTACACTACCCCTTGAGCTCTTTCTCCTTGGCCTCACAAGAAGAAGGATTACATTTTACTAAACGTAAAAATCACGTTACCGGTACCACCACTAAGTACACTACCCCTTGAGCTCTTTCTCCTTGGCCTCGCATATAGCATCCAGCTGCTTCTTTGCTGCTGCTACAGCATCCTCCACCTGCCACACACATACACACACACAAGAGGTATTGCAAGGTGATAGGGGCCTGCGCTTCTATCCGGGGTGATACGGTACAAGGGGTATTGCAAGGTGAGTGATGCAGGGGTGAGAGTCAAGGAAGCGCCCCTATAGCTGCTCCTTTGCTGCTGCTGCCTCCTCCACTTGCCACACACGCACACACTCACATGCACAGCAGAGACAAGGGGTGTTGCGGGGTGAGAGTAAAGAAAGCGCCCCTATAGCTACTCCTTAGCTGCTGCTGCTGCCTCCTCCACTTGCCACACACAGCAGACAAAACGCCTGCTCGTTTACTGGAGAACAGTGTAGTGCGGTATGTTGAGAAACCATGTGGTACAGTGTGGTGAAGGGCGATGGAGAGGGGTAGAGAACTGTACCTTCTTTTCCGCCCGCTTGCGCTCGTCCTCGGGAATCACATCTGCTGCTTTCTTTATAGCGTCCATTCCCTATAAGCACAGGTAAGTTGGTTTGTATTGCAGGAGACGAGGAGGACAATGGAGAAGAGCGGCGCCTTCTGAGACAGGACAGAGATCCTAATTACAAAAGACTTGGGGTTTAAGTCTAGACAAACAGGTGGAGTGAATTTGTATTGCGAAAGAGATTGAAATTCTGAACAATGCGAGAACAGGATAAACAGGGTATTGCAGGCAAAGAGTGTGTCGCAGTCTCCCATTGCAGGGGGACAATCGAGACGAGTGACGCAAAAACAAGAAATTCGCCATACATATGAGATTTATTAAAGTGGAAAAAAACCTTGCACTAGTGGAAAATGCGTGCATCAGCACAGCAAGCCACCCTGACTCACCTCCTTCCTCGCCCGCCGTGACTTTTGAGTCGACTCAAAAGCCACCCTCACTCACCTCCTTCCTCGCCCGCCGTGACTTTTGAGTCGACTCAAAAGCCACCCTCACTCACCTCCTTCCTCGCCCGCCGCAAGCTCACTCTCGCAGACTCCGCTGCCTTTTGCGCCAGCTTGAACATAGCCTGGGGAAGAGAGGGGGGTGGGGGGGAGGGGGAAGGGGATGGGGAGGGGGATGGGGAGGGGCTGAGCTAGTAACTTCTAAGAGGCCTCAAGCTCACTCTTGCAAACTCAGCTGCCTTTTGAGCCAGCTTGAACATGGCCTGGGGAAGGGGAGAGGGGGGGAAGAGTAGAGGGGACATTCAGAAAATTCCGCTGCCATTTGCGCGAGCTTGAAAAAGGCCTGGGGAAGGGAGGGGAAGAGGGGAGGCCAATGGGGAGAAGGATACGGAAGGGCAGAGAGGAGGGAAAAGAGCAATCTTGCAGACTCTGCTGCCTTTTAAGCGCTCTTAAACATGGCCAGGGGAAGGGAGGTGTGAGCAGGATGTGGAAGGACAGAGAGCGGAGGGAGATGTAGAGGTCTCAAAGGCAGTCTCGCGGAGACAACAAAGGAAGATGGAAGTTGATGATTGAGAGAAAAGAGGGAAGAGGGGGGGTAGAAGACACAGCTTTCACTCCTCTCCTCTTAACTCCCTCACTTCCTGCTTCTCACCTCCCTCACTTCCCCTCCTCTCACCTTCACTCCCCCCTTCTCACCTCTCTCACTTCCTTGGTCAGTCTTGAAGGTGGGGGAAGTAAAATGCGCATGCAACAAGGGGAGGGAAAACGGGGAAGAAGGGGGAGAAGCAGGAGGGTAAGTTGAAGGTAATTTCATTGATAGTAACTGTGTTTTGAGACCAATGATATGAAGCATAGGAATCTAAATAGTAACTGGAACCAAAAAGGAAAATGAGATACGATAAAGTCAAGGTTCGGTTCGAACAAGGGAAGAAGGATTTTGGAACATATATTTAATAAACAATTTGTACATGAGGTGCTTTTTTTTCCAGTCGACTCAAAAGATCAATGGTTGAACAAGTAGAACACGTTGCAAGCTACTGCCAAAAGATCAAAGGCTCTGCCAATTCCTGTTATTGATGTACAATGATGGCAACGGAAGGACTTTTGAGGCGCCTCAAATTTCCTGCTATTAATGTACAATGATGGCAACGGAAAGAATGATGGGCATGGTATGACAGCCACGGTAAGCCAAGACTCACTCTTGGCTCTCTATTATCAAAATACCTGCTCACCTGGGAGGAAATGGGAAGGAGGAAAACGGTGCTTACCTGGGGATGGGCGCAAGGATGGCAGTGTGCGAGGTGTGAGAGGGGTTCAGCCCCATGGGCGAATTTAAGGAAGCATGTGTGGGAGGAGTGAGAGGGAAGCGAAGCTCTCACTTGGGAATGGGCACGAAGATGGCTGTGTGCGAGGAGTGAGAAGGGTTCAGCCCCATGGGTGAGACAGCATGTAAGCATGTCAGCAAATGGAGGGGCACGAACATATGGGGATGCATGGGCAAGGATAGTCACACTCACCTGGGGATGGGCACGAGGATGGCAGTGTGCGAGGTGTGCGAGGGGCTCAGCCCCATATGGACGATTCTTTAGAGGCGCCTCAACGCTTGTCTCTCTACTCGATAGTCGTGCACAGGAGGAGTGTCTTGCACTCACTTGGGAATGGGCACGAGGATGGCAGTATGTGAGGTGTGAGAGGGGTTCAGCCCCATGGGTGACTCCTGCAGGCCCTTCATCGCCGCTCCTAGCAGCTAGGGAATTGTGGGGAAGGGGGTAGAGGGAGGAAGAGGGGGAGGAGGGTTGACTCTTGATACGAGCGTGGTGGTTTTAAGGCCCTTTCTGCCTGAGTTTTTGTTCATGTCCTGCCGGAGCTGTCAAGAGAGGACAGGTGGGCTGCAAAGGCCTTACTTCCATCAATCTCGTACCCATCAATCTTGTTCATGTCCTGCCCGAACATATGTTACACTTTGTTACGCGCACGCACGTGTAACTTCTACATTACTCGCAACTTTACCATTACGACCCATCTAATGGGAACCCACGTAATGGTAAATTCGCGAGATGGGTCGCATGGGTACTAGAACATGCGACCCATCTACGCACCAGAAACAGTGTCGTGTGCCATTGTAACGAGGTGAAATTTGAGTCGACTCAAAAGTCACATGGGTCGCATGGGTACTAGAACATGCGACCCATCTAAGCACCAAAAACATTCACGGGAGGATCAAAGGAGTGTGACTGAGAGAACCTAGGGGCGCTTGACTGGGAGTGTGAGATGGATGAGGAGGAAAGGGTTGGGGTCCTTGACTGGCCATCTCACACGGATTATGCTATCTAGTCCAGACATTCTCACAGACGCGTCATGGAGTGTGACTGAGAGCACCTAGGGGCGCTTGACTGGGAGTGTGAGAAGAGATGAGGAGGAAAAGCAGGGGACCGTTGACTTGAGAGCTCACAGGGGGAACAGCAGCAGCATGCATCTGATACTCACAGAAGCATCGTGCAGAGTGACGGAGAGCAGCTGGGGATCCTTGACTGTGACTGTGGCCACGCGTGACAATGGCGAGGGGCGGCCGTATGCCTCCAAGTGCACGTGGTCAAGCAGGCCTGTGAATGTGATTGTGACGAGGGTGGGAGCAGTGACGGGTGAGAGTAAAGAGGGGTGAGTGAGCGGAACGTGAGAGTGAACAGGAGGGGCAGCAAGGCAATACACATCCACATGCACGTGATTATGGAGACCTGTGAGTGTGACAGTAACGAGGGTGGGTAACGAAAGACTTGCGGTGCAATCCGGGGAAGGCAAGGCCCGTCCTTATCTTGGCCAACCTCTTATCACAATGATAGAAGCTCTTTTGCCTCCTCCCCCACATGCACCCTCACTGTAGGTTGGTTTGAATTGAAGACGTCAGAACACACCAGCACCAGATCTATCCCCGCCCCCCTGCACCGCCTTCTCGCCTCCCCCACCAGCACCTTCAGTCACCCAACCCGTGGTGGCTTCCCAGTCGATTCACAAGTCACCTCCCTCCTGTGTGTTTCTGTGACGTGTCTAGGGGTGTATCTGAATCTCACCAGGGGCGGCACGGCCTGTGAGTATCTTGGCGAGCTCTTTGATAAGAGCCTCTTTCGCCTCCTCCACATGCACCTGCACCAGATCTACCGCCCCCTGCACCGCCCCCCCCCCCCCACATACACGTTCACTGACCCAATCCAGGGCAATGAGGTGACTTTTGAGTCGACTCAAAAGTCACCTTGCACCTGCACCGCCCCCTGCACCGCCTCCTCCTCCCCCCCCCCCCCCCACATACACGTTCACTGACCCAATCCAGGGCAATGACTGATCTTAAGGATGTGCCAACCTCCTGTGTGCTTCTGTGACGTGCCTACCCTGCTGATGAATCGAATGCAACTCTTTTTTGAGGCGCCTCAAAAAACAACCTCCTGTGTGCTTTTGTGACGTGCTTCTGTGACGTGCTTCTGTGACGTGCCTACCCTGCTGATGAATCGAATGCAACTCAGAATCCATCCCAGGCTTACCAGGGGCGGCACGGCCTGTCCTTATCTTGGCAAGCTCTTTGATAAGAGCCTCCTTCGCCTCCTCCACATGCACCTGCACCAGATCTACCGCTCTCTGCACCGCCTCCTCGCCTCCCCCCTCCTCCTCGCCTCCCCCTCCTCCCCCCCCACGGCCTTTCTTCACGCCGGCCCCTTTCTTCCCAGAAGCTTCCTTCTTGTCCTTGCCTTTCTTCCTGGCTCCGGATTTTGATCCTCTTCCTGCTTCTTCCTCCTCCTCTTCCTCTTCTTCTTCCTCTTCCTCCTGTTCCCTCTCCTCATTCTTGCCTTGCTTCTTGTGCTGCTTATGTAGCTTGTCTATCAGAAATGGGAGAAGAAAAGGGGTGTGAGAGAGAGGGGACTGCTGAGCCGAGATGAAAGGAAACTGTTTCTTGCGCAGCTTGCTCTTTTGCTAAAGCCTAGACTACACAACTGCTTCTCTCGGAGGATAGCCATTTGAAAAAGGGGGTGTTTTTGAGGCGTCTCAAAAACTGCTGCTCTCTTGAGGGTGCTTAAAACCGGAGTCCCAAACAGCCCAAAACTGCCTCAACCTTCCTAACTTTGGTTGGGTGTGACCCAGTTGATACCGAGCTCTCCTCGCAAATTGTTGGGACGATTTTCGCCAAGCGAAATTACTGTTCAAGCGAGGACGATAGCGGTGACAACTTCGCAAACAAATTTGCAGCCCGTCCGAAAGAGTCTGCGAACGAAATCTGACGTAGCATTCCAGATCTGGTTACGCTCGCGACTTTTTCTTACTAAGCGACCCGCTACCACCGATTCGACACCACCCTGGCTCGCGAGCCAGTCACCTTTCTCTCCCCTTCCAATTTTCCTAACTTAGAAACTCTTGGACCTCCGGTTTTAACCCTCTTTTCACGTGACTACACACAACTGCTGCTCTTTTGCTTAAGCCTAGACTACACAACTGCTTCTCTCTGAGGATAATGACTGAAGTAGAAGTGAGCGCGAGTGTGTAGCTGCTCGCTTCTTCCGCAACTTGTGAGTCCGATTTGGGGGAAGCAGAAGTCATCTCGCTTCTTGCGCACCATGTGTGTGAGATTTGCGCAGAAGTGAGCAGGAGTGAGCAGGAGTGAGCAGGAGTGAGCAGAAGTGAGCAGCAGTGAGCAGAAGTGAGCAGGAGTGAGCAGAAGTGAGCAGGAGTGAGCAGAAAGAAGTGAGCAGGAGTGAGCAGGAGTGAGCAGGAGTGAGCAGGAGTGAGCAGGAATGAGCAGAAGTGAGCAGAAGTGAGCAGGAGTGAGCAGGGGTGAGCAGGAGTGAGCAGGAATGAGCAGGAATGAGCAGGAGTGAGCAGGAGTGAGCAGAAGTGAGCAGGAGTGAGCAGAAGTGAGCAGGAGTGAGCAGGAGTGAGCAGGAGTGAGCAGGAGTGAGCAGGAGTGGGAGCTCAGCTCACTATCCTACGGGAATATTTCTCCATTCAAGCACATTCCCTACAAGCACCTTCCCTACATGCACATCCGTATCGCACCCGTTCGGCGGTGCGAGTGCGCGAGGCACCGCCTTGGGATCATCGTGGCTGCGGCCGGCGGGAGGGGCGATCCTGAAATCGAACGGGCGCGCGGAACAATGAGCGGAGCGGCGTTGGCGGGGAGAACGGGGAGCGGTTGTACGGGGAACAGGGGAGCGGGGGGAGACGGCGGGGAAGCGGGGAGTCCGGCTAGCGACGCGACGACACGTGGAAGGCTCGGCGCGCTAGGTTCGGTGCTAATGTGGCAGATTCGCGACGCGCGAGTGTCGCCATGGGACGGTGGAGAAGATGGAAACTGAGAATCTACGGTTCGATCGAAGCCTGGTAAATCGACGGTTGCTGTGGCAATGGCGCGTGATCGAAGGGCCGGTTCCGGATTGGTAATACGCGCGGAAATGGCGGCCCGCACAAGGCGGCGCGAGCTACGGAACGCCATGGATGCGGTCAGCTATGTTGAAAGCCGCCTTGCGGCTGCCGCAGATTCGTGACGAAATCGGACAGAACCATGAGGTGGGGCAAAGATTTTGTGAGAACAATGGCGGATTCGTACGGTGCACTACGGTGGTGTTTGATACGAACAGACTCGTTAGAGCGAGGATGTGGCAGTCACTACAAGTACGACTTGTACCGTTTACTCGTTTGCTGTCACACAGAAACTTACACAACACAGATCCAAATCTAGCTAATAAAGATATGAATAACAAATGCTTCTTATTACGTAAATATACTCAATACAAAGCCATCATTTTAGCCGTGCCATGACCCCGCATCACATAACCAATTTTTTGGCGTCACGTCACCATCTTTTGGGACTACCTCACAATCAGGCCTTCAGATTGGTTTTGGTGAACCCTGGGTGATCAGGGTACGAGGTTAAGTGAAGCCTGATGGCTAGGGTTAAAAAAAAAAAATTCCCTGTATTCTGCAGCGTAAAAATTCCAATGCACTGAATCAGTCAGTATGAAAATGTCTCTACACTGAATTTAGCAGCATAAAGTTGCAGATAACAGACTAACAGAACTACCATTGGGTTTCTTTCCCTAGTCCTCCTCAAGTAACAGGGTCAGAAGATCCCTCCTTGTCATCATCAGCAAAAAGAGCCTCTCCTGGGTTGGTGCCACTGAAGTCCTTTGTTGACCGCCGCAGCTTCTCTCCCCTGAAAATCGACACCACCTCGTACCAGTCCACGTCGTACTGGAGCAGAGAGCATCTCATCAGATGCTCGAGGGTCGTGTCAGAGAGGGCGCCACGCTCCCACGACTTGATCAGATTCTGCTTGCTAAATCCCATCTCGCACTCCACCGTGCTCAGTGGTAGCACGGCAACAGCCTGCCACATCCGCATCAGGTTGGGGAAGGAGTGCTGCCATGCGTCGTCCCGAAGCATGTTCCCCAGCGCCTGGTGGAAGTCCTCGTCGTTGTGCTGTGAACATGGTAGACGTGAACATCCACAGCTCGCTCAGTGCCCTGGTGTATTCAAATCCTGATAATCGGGAGTGGGAATTACGGAGGGTATACTTGTAGCAGGCGGGAGGGAGGGGGAATCTTAAACCAAACAATCAACAAGGCGCAGGCATGAGTGTACGAAGATACTATACATCAACGCGCATGCGTACAGGTACCCAACAACCACGCTCGCACACAAACAGAACACATACATACCTGGCAGTTTGTTGTTGAACAGTTTGTGCAGTTGAGCCAGCCACTTTTTGAAGGTCTCCACACGCTTTGTATTGTCTGTGACGTATGATGCTGAGCGAAACAGCTTCGACCCCTCCAGATGCGCCAGGTCCCTCATGCGCCACTCCAGCTCCTTATCGATTTCACGCACGAACTTCAACGACAGCTCGTAGCACGCCTCCACGTCACCGGCCGTCTCGTGCCCTTTGAATTTCCTCTCGTGCAGCTCGTACTCGAAGGTCACGGGGTTGCCATCACTGTCTACGCCCTCAGCCTTCACCTCCCGCTTGTCCATCTTCTGGTGGCGCTGAATGAAGTCGTTGAGGGTCATCTTTTCCCCGCTGCCGAAGTTATGAGATGGGGAATCGTTCAAATATCGGTTCTTCAGGCGCCATCATGTCTGCTGCACCAGGTGCCTCACCAGAGTGATGTCAATCTGCAGGTTGATTACAAGTGACAGGGTAAGCGACATGTATAATTGAAACACGTTGGATAAGGAACACAACAGAATGGGTATGTGCCAACCGTACCTGCCTTTGCTGGGACCGCTGATTCAGGAAATTCGGCTCCCAAAGCACATCAGCAAGCAGGCGTAGCAACCTCGTACAGATCGGCGTTGTACTCCTTCAGCTCCACAATGACCGCAGGTAGGATTTCGAGGAGGCCTCTAACTGCCTCTCCACGTGACAGCCATCGAACTTCATGAATGCCTTGAGCCTCGAGGTTGGTCCTGCAGAACACCTGCTGGATGTTGTGAAACTTGTGGTACTTTACGTTGGTGACAAAGTTTGAAGAAAAGAAGAGGATTGAACTAGCAGGAATGAGGATACAAATAGCAAACCCTAGAAGGGTTGTACTCGCTATAGAGCACCCCACTACAGGCTAGAACATAAGATAACATTCTGACACACCCCCATAGCCAAAGTGGGGTGTAATCAGCAGAGCAGGCAAAGCAGTACAAGCTCAGGGTGGATCACAATGTCACCACACATTCTGAGCACAAGTTCAAGAAGCAATAGTTTAAAGTTCACAATTATGAGCAAAGCTAGTGGTAGTCACAACGGGCAAGTGAGGAGGTGGAGAGAGTGTGAGGGGAGAGGAGATAGGAGGCGACGGCTGAAGCTGCAGACACACGGGCAACAGTAGGCAGACTGGCACAGCGGCTACCGGGCAAAGCCCCCGGAATACTGGAGTAACTGGCCCCGCGGCTAAAGTAGCGGCAGACGAGCAACGGACCCACGGGCGGCTGGCGTAGAAGTCTACGACTGGGCTACCGGGCGAAGCCCCCGGACTACAGGTGCTGCTGGCGACACGACGGCAACCTCCGTGCAACTTCCCAAAACAGTCCCACCCCCCCTGACACACACCCGCTGCTACACCGCTAGCTCCACTCCCACGCACCCCCCCTTAAACCCTAAACCCCAGTCTCCCACACATCCACCCCCCTCAGCGACAGCTGCAGTAGTGGGAGACGAAGGAGGAGGAGGAGCAAAGGGAGGAATGAGGAAGTGCCACCCCCATACTCGCCACCCCCTGCTCGCCACCCCCAAACCCTAACACAGACAGGGTGGGATGGCGGGTAGGCAGGGTGGGATGGCGGCGCTCGCCCCCCTCCCCCAGGTAAATCCTCCCGTCGCCTGTCGAGGCGACCCTCGGGGGCCGCGACGGGCGACGGGAAATGGGGCCGGGGCGCAAGGAGGGCGGCGGGGCCACGGGTGTAGGGCGGCGGGGCCGCGAAGGTGGGGCGGCGGGGCCGCGACAGAAGGGCGGCGGGGCCGCGAAGTGGGGCGGCGGGGCCGCGAACGTGGGGTAGCGGGGCCGCAAAGGAAGGCGGCGGGGCCGCGACGGTAGGCGGCGGGGCCGCGAAGATAGGTGGCGGGGCCGCGACCGTAGGTGGCGGGGCCGCGAAGGTAGGTGGCGGGGCCGCGTAAGGTAGGGCGGCGGGACCGCGAAGGTAGGTGGCGGGGCCGCGTAAGGTAGGTGGCGGGGCCGCGTAAGGTAGGCGGCGGGGCCGCGACCGTAGGTGGCGGGGCCGCGAAGGTAGGCGGCGGGGCCGCGAAGGGTCCCCGTCGCCCGTCGCGGCGCCTCCAGAAGGCGACGCGGCGAACGACGGGGCAGAAGCCCGCCGCGCGCCTCGGGGCGCACAGCGGGCAGAGAACCACCGCGCGCCTCGGGGCGCACGGCGGGCAGAAAACCGCCGCGCGCCTCGGGGCGCACGGCGGGAAGAAAAAATGGCAGCGGAAGCGAGGAGGTGGTAACCCACCCACAGGATCGATCCAAGGGGATCGACCTGCTATGATAGCATGACAAAGTTTGAAGAAAAGAAGAGGATTGAACTAGCAGGAATGAGGATACAAATAGCAAACCCTAGAAGGGTTGTACTCGCTATAGAGCACCCCACTACAGGCTAGAGCATAAGATAACATTTTGACAGTTGGAACGGTCGATGAGGTCAGCGAAGCCACGGACAACACTGTCCACCATAAAGAGTTCGGGAACTGCTTCCGCAGCATTTTTTGCAGCCAAAGCCTCCCTGCAAGTGTAAACAATGAAGCAGCGTGAGAACGATGGTGGATAACAGAAACAAACATTACTAGCTTTACATCAGGTAAGAACCTACCGATGTGCGACGCAGTGCGTTGAGGCAAGATGAGGAATCCGCATGCGCAGACGGGCGACAACACCAGTGTGCTTCCCCATCATGACATTCGCACCGTCCGTTGATACGGACGAGATCTTCTGAAGATCCAGTCCAATCCCTGTCAGGTACTGCACCATAGCAGAAGTCAAAGACGCGGAATCAGCACGGTCTCTTAAGAACCTAAGGAAAGAAATGAGTGAATTAGGTGAAGGCTAGGGTACAAGACTACGGTATCGAGAAAGTTTGTGTACCCCCTAGTGCTAACCCCCATACAGCCTAGATAACCTAAACAAGCATATATATATAATTTGACACACCCCCATAGGTGAAATGGGGGATAGCCAGAGCAAGCAACGGTCACAAGACCAGTCAAGAGAAGAAACAAAACACAGCTCATGGTGGATCACAACGTCACCACGTAGTCTGAGCACAAGCAAAAGACCACAAGGCCAGTTCACATGCAGATATATATATATATATATATATATATATATAGATCACAGTACAAACAAAGCCTACAGCAAGTGAGGAAGTGTGGGCACTAGGCCTAACAAGGTGCAGAAACGCTGATGATAACCAGGCGGAAGCGCCTTGGTGAATATATCAGCAGTGTTGGCCCGAGTGGCCACGTAAGCAAGGCGAAGCTGGCCACGCTGCTGCAGCTCTCGAGCAAGGAAGTAACGCAGAGCGATGTGCTTCGTTCTGTGCTCCACTCTGTGCTCCTGACACAAGGCAATGGCGGCCTTGTTGTCAACGTACAGAACTGGAGGAGAACGAGGCCGCTCTCCCAAGTCGGTCAGCAGGTAGGTGAGCCAGCGTAGCTCCTGTGCAGCCATGGCTGTGGCGTAGATCTCGGCCTCACAGCTGGAGCCGAGAACTGACGACGAACGTGTAGAACGCCAGGAAACTGAACCAGAACCAAGGCTGAAGGTGTAACCCTATGACGACCGCTGCGTAGCCTGGTCGTCAACCCAAGAGGCGTCCGAGTGACCAGTGAGGACAACGTCACCCCGTCCTCCAAGCATGAGCCCCATGCCCGATGTACTACACAAGTAGCGTATTACCCTCTTAGCAGCATCCATGTGCACCTTTCGGTGCCGACAAGGAGCCACGTAGCGAGCCAGAAGGCCAAGAGGGTACGCAATGTCAGGACGAGTGCAGGTCATTAGGTACATGAGGCAGCCCACTAGCTCTGGGCAAGGACCACTCGGCTCTACGGACTCGTCCAAAGGTAGAGCTGAGAGCAAGTGCCCTGTAGCCAGAGGAGTGGCCTGTGCTGAGGACCGGGTGAAGCCGAAGCGCTGAAGGACCTGCTGCACCATGTGTGACTAAGTCAGTGTGATGGTGCGGCGTGCTCTGTCCCGGGTGATATGCAGGCCAAGGTAGCTGCGCAGCTCACCCAGGTCTGTGCACGTGTGTCTCTTCTGCAGCTCCGACTTCACCAGGGCGAGCGCCTCATTGTCAGAAGAGGCAAAGACCAAGTCTTCGACGTACACGAGGATGTAGAACGGCGGGAGCGAAGTGTCGGTGCGCAGAAACAGCGACGGGTCAGCAGTCGACGGGGCAAACCCAAGAGCCGCAAGAGTCGTCCTCAGTGTGTCGTGCCACTCACGTGGCGCCTGGCGGAGACCGTAGACTGGCCGTCGGAGGCTCCACTGGGTACCAGGAGGGAACGACCCAGTGAAGCCAGGTGGACGGCGCAGCCAGACCTCCTCGTGCAGCTGCCCTGCAAGAAAGCTGTGCTGAAGTCAAGAGAGTGAAGCTCGTAGTCACGTTGAGCGGCAACGTGTAGCAACACCCGAAGAGTGGTTATCTTCGGGGTGGGGGAGAAGGTCTGGAAGAAGTCAACTCCCTCTCGCTGTCTGAAGCCTCGAGCAACGTAACGAGCCTTGAGGACAGGTGGAGAACCTGGCGGCCGCTTCACCCTGAAAATCCACATGCCACTGACGATGTTCGCCCAAGGAGGGGGAACCTCGTCGACGTAGGTGCCTGTGGACTTCCAGGATGCCATCTCTGCATCCATGGCTTTCTGCCACTGAGAGGAGTAGGGACCCTCGATCGCCTCAGCGTACGATCATGGAGTCGGGATGTCTGGTGCATTCGGGTCTCCCTTAGGGGCAAGCAACATGGACACGAGATGAGGCGCAGCGGCTGCAAGACACTCAAGGTCCTCCTGCCTGTCCTCAAGGACGTTCGTGCCAAGAGCACACTCACCCCCGACGGACGGAGGACAGACAGACTCATACTCAGCAACAAGACTAGCGGCGTAGTCTAGACGACAGTGAGCAGCAAAGTCGACAAGCTCAGCGACTAAGGGAGACGCAGCAGCAGACTCAAACGACGGGTCGGCGACAACAGTGGCTAGCAGACGCGTGACAATAGGGTGCTCAGCACAAAACCGATCAGACTTAGGGTCAGCAACGACAGGTAGAGAGGACGCAGGCGGAGACGGCAGGGGAACACGTGGCGGCGGAGAGGAAGGATGACGGACGACAAGGGAAGGGCCGGGGACAGCCGGCTGACGCTGAAGAGGAACACGACGACTGGAACGACCTTTAAGGACAGGTGAGACAGGACGCGACGCAGGCTCACGACGCTCAGCAAGGCCCCCTGTCTCCTCAGTGTAAGGAGAAGGAGCAGGCAGGGGTGAGCCAGGCTGTAACGGAAGACCAGTAGACGACGGGAGACTA